AGTTCTTTTTCATCTCTTGTGTCAGGTACACTGGTTTCCACTACAAAAGTTAGCTTTACATCTTTTGGCGATTGAACTCTTCACTAAGCTGGGTAATCTTGTTGCAAACGTTTTGTCACCAATCGAGGTGATATCATCAGTGCCTAGTTGAGTGGCATGCAGTAGCATAGAGCAGTGCTTCTTTACGCTACTGCACGCCACTCAACTACGCACTGATGATATCACCTCGATTGGTAAAGAAACATTTGCAACAAAATGATCAGGCTCAACGAACAGTCCAACCGCCATCTGAACAACCTGAGCTACCAGTCTTTAATTCTATTTGCATTATTCGTCTTTAACTGAGTGACACTCCGCTTTGAGCTTAACTCACTGGTACTGGCGTTCTTTAGCGCAAAATCGATCCGGAATGCCTTCCACGCTTCAGTGCGTATCGCTAACCATCCACTCTCCTGGCTCCAGCGTAGCACTCGTTTTCCAGATTACTTGCACTTCGTCTTTGTTTAACTTCCGCGAAGTGACATTCGTTCTCAGGGTTTGAATGTTGTTTTTCACTGACGAATGCGGTGATTTGTTCTTAGGTGGATTGGACTCCTCCCTGATGCACATTGAAGAAGACATTGTATGCAGCTTGACCCAGCCTTAGATATCCGATTTGCATGCGAATTTCCGCTGATTTAGTTAGCCTCCCCGGAACGCACCAATGGTGATTCATCGGAGTAATCAGATTGTCTACACCTATAAAACTTCCTTCGATAGATGTCTCACGATCGGTTGGGTTTGATAGATGATTACGGAGACCCATGCGATGGGGAAGGTTAGCCGTTAGGCACCGTTTACGCGCATTCGAACTATCGACCCAAAGCCACCTTTGCGAGGGAGACAGCTGCTGAGAAAAGTGGGCAAGTCATCCATACTCAAACTCACTGCCATGATTTTTTATCGGAACATTTAAAGAACAATTTAGCCGGTCGCTTTCGTCCGCGTTTTTCCAATCACGTGGGTCTGCTCGCGCCGTTCATCGAATGCCTCTCATCATACTTGGGGTCCTGCATCAACCACTGCTGCTGAAGCATAGCTAAGCATGTGGACAGGACTAGCTCGTAGCTGAAACGCAGCATATGCGCAGATTAGTGATCTAGCCTCCCCCCATACACAGTGTGTTAGGAGAATCGCTTTTGGCGGCTACCACCAGTCACCCGATTTCCTAAGTTGTATCAGCTGACGCCGGGTAAATGTACCGAACCGTCAGCTTTATTACACTTATACCTTAACAATTCTCTGCTCCCGGTGAATTTCGATTCACTGAGAGCCAATCTGGCCATGTATTTGCACCTCGCTGAGTGACGGATCGCCATCACACCCGTTGTCTACTACTGTAATTTTTCTGGCTCTAAAACTTTAGTTTAATTGCTCACGCCCTCACAACAGTTTCTGTCATGAATAGAGTTTCTCATCCGGAACACAGGTCCGAGAAAGTCATCCGTTAGCGAGGCAGTAGCTGAGAAAGACGGGCAGCTGATCCATTCTCAACTTCGTCGACTAGCCCGTCGGGCGGAACATTTTGAGAAGCAGTCCAGCTGACCTTCTGCGACACTGCCGTTTGCCGAATCGTCTGAACCGACGTGAGTAGTAGATGTTACACCTCCCACTTTGGAAGAGATTCGACAAAATCTTTCCTTGTTGAAGCGAAACACGGCTCCCGGATCCGACGACCTTCCTCCATCTTTGCTAAAAGATGGTGGTGACCATTTGTTAACTGGACTCACTACTCTGTTTTACACGATTTGGAACATAGGTACGTCCAGATTAATAAATAATAAAATAATGTGCCACAACGGCGTTTCGCTGCCGCGCGACCACCACCAGTCGCGCCTGGGCCGAGTATACCGCTAGGACGCCCATCCCTACGCGGATTCGAACCGGCGACCTTATGATTGCAAGCCAGGCGTGCAGACCACTCGGCCACCGGCCGACACATCCAGACTGGCTACTGTCAACTCTCGTGCCCGTCTTCCAGAAGGGTCAGTACTTTGCGCGAAAATCATTTAGGCATCACCTATCCATTACATCCAAACTCCTAACGGGTACTATTCTCCTACGACTTACTGATCCCGTGAGAACCGATTCACTGAAAGCCAGGCTGGCTTTCGCCTTGGTCGTGATTGTTACGACCACATATTTACTCCGCCAAGTGGTAGAGCAGAGACACATACAGACGACCGACAATGATGATTTTTCTTGACTTGAATGGTGCCTTCGACTCTGCTGACCACATCAACTTGTGGCACTGCTTATCCATTAAGGGCGTGCCGGCTGAATTTTTCCATTATGCAGTCTGTCTACCGTGACTCCCAGCCGACCATCCCCTGCGTTTCCCACGACAAGTGGGGTTCTCCCTTACTTTACTCTTCAACTTTGTTATCAAAATAATCATAAGTGACTGTTCTTCAACTCTACCGGAGTGGAAGTTCTGCGGAAAATATAGTTTTTCTTGGGTCTGACGCAGTGGGTATGCAAACACTGTTGGATAGACTGATGTGTAGCGCTGCACACTTCGGCTTGTGCTTTGCACCTTCAAAGTGCAAAGTGTTGCTGCAGGACCTGACCGACACATCTCCGGTTTTAGTTTTTTCCGAACAGTCACTGGAAGTGGTGGATCGGTTCACTTACCTTGATAACTGTGTCATCTCTGTTGGTCACATCACTGACGAAGTTACTTCACATATCTGCAAGGCCTGTGCGATTTTCCAGAGACTCGCCCATCTATGGGGACGGCTGGATATCAGGCTATCAGTAAAAGGTAGGGTGTATAACGCAGCGGTAAAACCAATGTTGCTGTGTGCTTCAGAGACCTAGCCAGTTTGCGGCGAGGACATTAAACGCTTGGTCCTGTTTGACTATCGGTGCTTGCGAACTATTGCTCACCTCTGCTGGGACCATCGGATGAGCAATGCTGAGTTCCGCCAGTTGGTTTTCCGCAAGAAATCTTTTGGTTCCTCACTCGAGTGTTTGCTGTATTTTAGTCGCTTACGTTGGTTAGGCCATGTCCTCCGTATACCAGTTGGCCGGCTTTTTTGGTGTGCATTATACGCCTTGGCTGCACCACGTTGGGTGAAACCGCGAGGTGACCAGTCCAAGACGTTGTATAGAGGCATGAGGAAATTGACTGAGACTTAGTCAGGTGGATGTGTGCCGTCTTCGTGAATGGGGGCCTCGGGATGGTCCGCACCAATCATTGGAGACGGTATCAGACTGGGTGCAGTCACGCAGTCAGTGGCATTCATGCATTTGGTTTCTTGCATCTGATTGTTTATTTTCGTTATATCCTGATTAGTTTAACGCACTTTCTTATTGCTTCCATTTTCTTTACTTGCTTTTAGCCTCACTATCTCGCCGTTGTTATCTATCGTTATTCTTGTTATGTGAGTCATAGCAGCTCGATCCACCGCAATTCGGTGCTCGGATCACAGTTGATCAGCTGGACTGAACTGATGGAGTTTCTCTAGTGTTCCTCTCGGTTTCCACATCTACTTGCTGTGGTCTACCGAGTGTGTATGAACAGCTGTCCTCTGCGCTGACAGTGGCAAACGACGTACGTTAGATTAGTGACATGAGGTGGGGTTTCTACCGGATGGTTCAGTGTGGAACCTAACTTACGCTAGTGATCTTTCTCCCTTGGAGTAGATACCCAGCCACCGCGCATGTGCGCTGCTATCTTCTGGAGGTGTTTCGCATCTTAAAGTTGTTAGGTACATTACGGCACTTGGCCAAGGTACCACTAATCATCACCATCAGTAAACAGCCACTCAACCTGGTACATAGGCATAGTGTACAAGGGTGCTCGGCTTTACCGGTCTGATCAAAAGGCATCAAGTGCACCTGCTGAGTATCGCCCGTCTGATGCAAGTACTAGACAAGTAACGCTAAGATCCAGTTTATGGCATCTGGCAGCTTATCCTCTCGTGGTGTTTGTTGGGGCTGAACTGCTACTGTTATGAGCCAGCTCATGTCTCTTACGCGGGTTAACCGGCTACCCCGACATACTTCCTTCGCCGAATAGTCGAGTAAGCTCTTTGTATTCAGCTGAGGACAGTGCACAATGACAGTAACAGATTGGCCGAAAGCGTTCTTCTGAGCGATAGCTCCTCCCGTATTCGTGTCAGTGATCACCTGCCTCGTTGAATATGGTTGGTTCGCGAGGTCCGTTGCTTACTTGTACGCAGCTTCATGATTTTGCAGTCAGTTTTCTTGTTCAATTATAATCCCTTACTTTTAATCTGCTTTTTGCCATTTTTCGTTTTCTCTTTGATTTGTATGGTGTCTTGTCACGGGAACTTGATCTGCCTGTCTGGTTCTTTAATCTTTAACTGATCTTGCTGTTACCTCTACCCCGATTCCTGGTCCAAGGAGACTTGTAATGGTTATCAGGGCAGCTGAGATGCACAGTTTTCATGGCTTTTTCCTTATAGTTCAATCCCATCTTGAGGCAGGCTACAGTTCAAATATCCTTGTTCACATATTGTGCGTATCTTCCTCTAATTCTACATCAGGGTCTAAGTGGCAGGCACATATACTGCACTAGTCAGCTTCTTGTTCGATGCACTTCGCACCGTACCACGCTTATGCACACCCCTGGCCCACACCGTCTCTATGACCATCATGGCTCGCAATGAATTGCCGCTCTTCCTTCTGATCTACTCTCTGAAGGTGCATGCAACGGCTGACTTCGGGCATACTTGTCATTAGCTCCCTGGTCCCGTTCTTACACGTTACGTTAGCTTCTATGCTCCCCACCACATCTGCTTCGACTGCTAATGGGTTTGCAGTTTTTTGCATCAACTGTTCCTTTTCCACAACATTTCTCATTCCTTCCAACGGTCATCTCAACTCTCCAATTTCGACGATGAGTCTGGATTGTATGCCTTTTTACTTATTGATGAATTGCCCTTATCTGGTCGTCTATATTCCCCTTGTTCCGGATTCGTAGCTCCGCATCCGATATGCGATCACATCCATGTTAGCTGGATTTTATTGTATGCATTGTCCTTTCCCTTGTCGATATTCATTCGCGCTATCCCTCCAGCGCTCGTGTTTCCAAATGGAATTCTCTTCTCCACCACCAGTAATTTTTCCCACGTGCTTTCTCTTTCAGACGTCAGCTCAAAGTCAGAAGACTTTGTGTAAGTCAAAGCGCTTTGCTTTGTTTGCTTCCTAATGCATTCATCTTATCTAACCTATTGAACTGAACAAACATCATTCTACTAATGTGGACAGCGGTTCACTTTGGTTAGGTAACCAAATCAGACTGGGTCTCGGAGTATCGCTAGCTTTGTGTTACTTCCCATGGAGTCGCCGACATGTGCAGCGTACTGTTAGACAATTTAGCACTTCTACGGTAGAGAGGACTCACTCGTCACTCGTGTTTGCGATTAACGATTTGATAGTTTGATAATCTCACTGTTCGGTGACAGAATTGTGATCAAAGCACCAGAGAGGCTCTTGTTACCAGAAATGTCCTCACGGAAGTTCATATTTCTATTAAGCAGTCGGGCGTCGTTGCCATAAGCGATAACTCAAGCACAGGGAGCAAGGTGGGTGTTGTCTCGTTGCGAATCATACGTGCACCTTGTATCTGAAAAACAACTTTCAGCTGTGGTTCCTCTCTGGCCAGCTCAGATCAATTCTCCGGTCACACATTTTGTTATCAACGGCGTCCCTGAGAAGCATATGCAATGGATCACCTACTAGCTTATTTCGTTTTTTGACTGATCTATCACATTGTGGCTTGCATTTAACTTGGGGCGATGGTTTGCATGCTTCAATGACCCATTCGATTGTGCTTAGTTGCACATCTTGCACCTTCAGAGCCACTAATACCAGATTTGCCAATGGTTAGTGGTCAGACAAACTCTGTTTTTTAACCTTCTAGGTTAACACTTAGAGTGCGAGTGGCTCATTATTCCCTAAAACGGACTCTCAATAGCCAGTTACCAGAATCAGTTTGCCTTTTGGTCCGTTTTTTGATCCAAAGGCTTTAGTCGAAAACCCTAATCGTTCACTTTTCCAGACCATAGCAATCTGACAAAATCCAACCCATGTAATACGATGAAAACTTTTCAACATGTTTTGTTGCTCTGGCCATCGCAGAGGATAATCAATAGCACCTTATCTGCTGCGTCGATCAGAGTGTGAGGATGCTGCTACTCAGAACTCCGCTTCTTTTTCACCGTCTTCTTCCGTTATTTCATCCTTATCGTTACGTTCCAAGTTCATTCATATCCCACTCGTTTTCAACCCTTCAGTCCATAGCCCTCCCCATCTTGATTTGATAGACATTTGTCTTCTAGTTTCTACTCACATACATTTTCCGGGCCTCGCTCCGGGTCAGCCGACAAAGGGTATGTTCAACTATGCAACCAAACTCCGGTCACCCGTTTCTATTTCGAACCTCTTATCCACGCTAAAACTGGCATGCCCTATTGATCGATATTTGCTGTTTACTGGTAATCCGCCTACAAGATTCCAGCTCTGTGCTCATCCTGTGATCCCCCACGTGCGACACTGGCGGCACTCTCTCATTGTGCTTATCGGAAGATAATCTAACTTCAAATGGTGGCTATTCCTGTGAGCCTTCGGGCTGAAGCTGACCTGATTGACTGGATCTCAATTAACAGCCGGATATGCACCGCCAGATTGGCTCGTTCTTTCAAAGCTTCGAAGTTGCGCGCCGACAATCGGTGTCTGTTTGCCACTGCGGTCTACGCGCCCACAAACTGTAGCGATGACACGGTAAAAGACGACTTCTGTCATCAACTGAACGATCTCCCTAGTCACAACTGAACTGCGGAATCTGTAGCAATGGCTGGTGTTCTGAACGCTTAAGTTAGATCTTTGATCACTGATGAACTGCATCTGGGCTACCAACACGGTCTAGGCTCCCGCAGTGATAACGGTGAACGGTTGTTACGCTTATGTGAAGACGCTTGTCTATTTCTCTTGAGTACTAACTTCCGACAGAGCACCCGCAGTAGAGGGACATGGCTCCCGCTATCCTTGGACCAGCCATGGGCGCAAATCGAGCACATCTCAATCAGTTACCGCTGGAGGGGCCGCGTCCAGAACTGTCGCTCGATTTGGGGCACATGTGTGGACACTAACCATGCAGTTGTATGTGCTGATCTGCGGGTGCGTTTTGGCGAACGCTCGCGGCGACGCTGTGTGTGTGTGTGTGTGTGTAATCACTCGACCACTAGTGAAACCAAATGTTCTGAATGCTTATCGAAGAATGCTGGCATTTGGGTTGAGTGAGCGCCCACTGAACCCAGTGGACGGTCACTAGTCGCATGATCGCCATACCTTAGAAACAGTAGGTATGCCTTCCTATGGTAGATCTGATTGTCATCCTGGACATTGCTGCATTCTCTTGAATTTATGGATGGTCGCCGGCGCATTGCGGTTGAGCGCGAGCACAATGTGACTCGCAACGATCTCAGGGCGAAACTGCGTGATTGCCTGAAGTGAGACCGCCAAGCTTGTTGGTCTCATAGTACGTCGAAGATGGAAGTAGCCACTGTCCTTGGTATCCTTTAAAGTTATTCCGTTTGATACGGGAAGCTGGCAGCAAAAGACCTGGTGTTATCGAATCAATAGGCGACGAGAATGGACGGTATATCCACGGCCAGTCCAAATACTTAGAGCACTGGGGAAGCAATTTAATCCGCCGAAACCAACAGATTCGCTATCAGCCAGTGATCGGCCTTCTCGCTGGGCTGTCCCTGTCCATCCCGCTTTTAGTGCAGAAGCCGAACGTTAGTTCGGACTAGCAAAAGTAAATATGGCCGAGGGGCCAGGTGGGCTTTCTCCACTTTTCTTTTAAATTGGGTGACGATTTATTACTGGACTTGTGGAAGGAGGCTGTGTCAACCGACCGGGGCTGCTCCATTATTGTCCCGAATTTCAAGCGGGTTCACCTTAGGGAGGGCGCAATCTCAATTGCCTCTACTTTACTTGCCTGTCGTTCTCTCTAGCTTGACTGGCGCCCTAGACGACCCGATTCGTGAAGTGCACTCCAGATTTTGTCCAAACCGAATCTGCATTGACTACAGCTTCATATTGCGCCGCCACATATTGGCGACCAACCGTTGTCGTGTTCTTCGACATCAAGAGTTGTATTCCATTCACTGTAACAGTATGATCTTTGGTAATCTGTGGTTAGAATAGATGTACCAGAGGAATACGTAAACATTATACGGACACTACGTGAGTAGCTCGGTCAAAATGTGAGCTTATGACAAGCTATCGCATTTCTTCACCAGCTCCAACAGTGTAAGTCAGGGATGTCCGATGTCACTTTTCCTTTTAAATTTTGCCATTGACGAAGTCATTGAAGCTGCGTTCACTGGACCCGGTTTAAAAAGTATGCAGTTCTTCCCAGGTGATTGACTTCCGGACTTGGTGTATGCGGACATCATTGCTCTCCTCTGTGACATCTCATAAACGTGCCAAGCGGCACTAGACAGAATAGCACTGGTTATCAGTCGTTTCGGGCTCTTCATTGCACTCTCCAAATGTTAAGCTTTCCTCTAAGGTTATTGAGGATCATTTCCTGCGCTGATCTTTGGTGGGTATAAGCTAGAAATCAGCTGTCATCATCATCCTCATCTTCAACAGCAGTACACTAATTATTTAAACTGATACTTCGCTGCCATCCAACCATAACGACCTGTGCAACAAAGTATAATAAGTGTAAGAGAAAGGGGACAACGTAACACATTGCCTTAAAAAACATTCAAGATCTAGGATCCTACACCTTGTCAACAACGTACCATCACAAGCAGTTGGCTTTCTTGCAAACATAAGGCGGCATCAGCGAGACAGGTTCTTTGTGACTTCCACTGCCCTGCGTCATAATCAACCATTACATTGCAGATAACTCAGCACAAAACACACTTTAAATAAGCAGTCCGACTAGGAGGCGGCAGCAGTCGTGCCCTGCTGTCAACCGCGAACCCTATTCTGTAACCGCTCGAGCCAAGCACAAGGCGGGACGCGTGGATTCCAGCCTGTAAGGCGAGACGTACCGGTGGCACCGAGTTGGATAGTCAGTAACTTCATTTTCCGCTGCGAAGTCAGCTTGTGTCCACCTCGAGCCTTGCACCAACCTACATTTGGCAGACTAAACAAAGCCGTCCTCGGTAAGCGATGTCGGGGCAAATGCCCAAGCCAACGCAACTTATTCAGTGCTATCCGTTCTAAGAAACTAGCCTGGGTATCATTGCCTAGTACTCGCCTGCGCATGTCATCGTTGCGGACACGTTGATGCCATCCGACACCCGCAGTGTTTCGCAGACACCGATGATCAAAAACTTGAAAACGCCGCAGATCCTCAGGTCGATGGGCCAACTCTCACTCCAATAGATTAGGACGACCCTCTCTGTGGCATTGTAAATACGGGCTTTCCGACGGAAGGAGACTCCTGACGCCATAGATGTGGCAGATTCCAGAAGGCAGATTTAGCTTTTGCAATGCATGAACTGACTCCAGTACTTATGTCATCATCATCATTATACACGTCAGCTAGAGGTGGGAAAACACCTCCGCTATTGTGCCGCAATACATGAAGGAAATACATACATACATACACATAATACAATACACAAAGGAAAAACTAGATACAACAGTTGCATACCAGCTGAGCTACCAGCAACGGATAGGCATCGCTCCGGTAAGCTACCAGCCAGCTACTAGGCAAAAAAAATCATGTTTTACCCTACGAAATGGAATCGTAGATGGAGGGGGAGGCTAAAAGGGATGGGGAGGGACAAAGAAACTCACAGCACAAACGCCACTGAGGTCGGCTCCTTGCCATGTCAGCAAGTGTATCCAGCCAAACGTGTTCACCGTCTTTTGGACCCCAACCAGGGAGCTGTGACGCTCCAACTGAGGCTAGCTCCGAAGTGAGGGACTTCATTCCCCTGGGCCAATTCATCGCTTGGCCACCTCTTCTCTTCTTCCACCCACATCCCCGGTGAGCAAACAACGCACGGTGGGGGAAGTAAGTGGGCTGGCATGCGTAACACGACCCAGCCATCGGAGCCTGCTGCGTGAAATAACGGTGCTGACCGGTTCAGATCCTTTTCCTGGGCCGTAAACAAGGCGTCAAACACGCTCGTTACTCACG